TTGTGGACACCACAATAATTTGCATTGTTGATTTGGGGGAATTTAAATTGAATGTTTAATTTGCAGTAGCACCAACAAAATTAAGCCTTGCTTAAAGTTAAGTCGAGCTTAAAATCTATGGCAACGATTATTAAGACAATCGTTGCTATGGCATTTAAGTTATGCTTAACTTTAAGCGATACTTAATTTTGACGGTGCAATTGGCCATTAGTCACGTAATCAATAATTTTGAATGTGTGGGTAGTATTTTGTATTTGTGGGGATATCCTATCCGATTTTGGACACTGATTGAATAAACCCGTGTTTCTTTTGTTAATTTGATTTCACCGTTATTACTTCACTCGTATCTTCTCAGTTTCATACGGGGAGAGTTAAGATTGAAATTGGGTGGCGCTCAACCCTATTGGTAAGTTGTGACGAAGTACAAAAGATTTTAGCCCAGAACGAACTACCGCTGTGAAAATTCTTACGCTTTTGCTTTATTTGCTAACCCTGAGCTAGTCGGCCGTTTATGCGGCGGGTGCACTGCAAACTCGGCCTACCCTTGAAAATTATAAACTTCCAAAATAGAATCAGAGAGGATGTAGGATAAAGGAGTGAGCACTCGGCCTTGTTATTCATGAATCGATAACGGAATAAGTATTTAAAGGATATAATAAAATTCATATGTGAGTGAAAGGAGGAGTTTTAATCAATGATGTAACAACTTTTAATTAATGGTCAGTTTTTTCGCCCAAGGGAGTATGCCAGATTTATTAAACAACATATGAGCGGTTTAGAATGTTTTACGTGGATTTAATTTTAGCATAGAGTTTAATATTTACCTTTCACAATAATCACTTTTCCTACGCTTGCACTCATTTTGATCCTTGAATCCAGGATATGCATTTGATTATAAATTAAAAGTTTTGACTTGGGCTGCTTAATTTCTTTCGTTATCTATGGATTAGCCGTGATGGGTTTATTTAAAATCTTAGCGAAAAGAACGTATTTGCATTATCATTTTCGTTTATTCCTTCATCTTTAACAGTATCAAACAAACCCCCGCCGCCCGCCTCTACACACTCTTCAGTTAAAAACGTTGGAATCACGATTGTCTAAATCGACTTTGCCGCGTCCACTGCGCATGTCTGAGGTATTTTTGTATATCTAAGTTTACTTTTCAAAAAAATTTAACAAGAAATTCACAGATTTCTCAATCCTTTCTAACCATCGGTGATCGGAGACATGGAAAATGATAACCGTATAACGCCACATGTAAAACATAAATAACCCTTATTCACGCGGGATCATTTGGTTGAGCGAAACTGGTAACTTGATACCCATATACAAAACATAAGCATTTCCATGTTCCAGTGCTAAAAATCTTAAACCTACAAATAACCCTGAATAGGGTACCTATGCATTTTTGTAAAAAAATAATTGTTTACACAAAGAATCGAACACGAGCTACCCAGGTGCGAGTCGGGCTATCACAATATTGGGTGCCATAAATAATTGCTGTGGACCTGGAAGTTACGCAATCCTTAAGGAACTAACTTGGGAAGTATAGGTCACTAATAAACTGACGCGTTCAGGATTTATGAGCGATAAATTTAAAAATTTTGAACGGCTTGGGATTACCGCGAGATTGAGATTTTATTATCAAGAGGAGGACGTAATTTTTTGCGTAACATTCCCATCCCTATATCCGTATTTTATTACTGAGGAAGCAGCGATATTGCATGCGAAATGTACATACCTAATTTTATTTACTGGCAGCCCCTTTAAAAAAGTACCGCGGGCTCGATAAATTTAAAACAGAACTCAGGAGTAGAACTGATCCCTAAGAGGGGATTTTTACTTAATTGACAACGGAGGATTTAGGTACTAAAGTACCTATCAGTTCCGCCCCAGTCCCAATTTGCTATTAGTATGATTACTCGCCTCTGCTAATATGCGTATTTTCCATATCAAGTTGTGGTTTTAAATTACAGCACGGCTAATGCCTATTAGTTATTATGTTGCCTGGAAGCCTTTTCATTTAATATTAAATCAGTGAATTAACTGTTAGGGATAATTTTGTATTTTCAAGCATAACGGCTCATTTATAAATTAGTATCTTGTTGTTGTGTCATGCTTAGCAGATAAATTTTCCAACTTTCAAGATTCTCTGTTTTGAATTTTGTTCCCATTTAGCGAAAAAATCGATATTGTATATACTTTATCGGCTCCCACTCCATTCTTCTAGCGAGTTTAAGTAAGTAATATTGAAAAATAACAAAATTCCAAAATTTTATAGGCTCCATGACAAATTACCAACACTAACAACAATTACAACTACGGATAATAACAACATTATAGCCCTCAACAAAAAATGATGAATAGTTGGGGGTTAACTACCCTCACGACCCTACCGACCCCGAAGCGAAGTCGTGTATTCTTTTCTCAATTTAAATATCAACAATTTTTATTCAACACTTGATTTTCTTGCAAAACCAAAAACATATACAGGGTGCTCTATTTAAATTAAATTAAATATCTCGATTACCTGATGATACATTGTTTTTTTGTTTTGATCATTGTAACCCCGAAAAAATATTTCACAAATCACAGACAAACATCATTATTACTTCTCTTACTTGAAACATACTGTATTGTATCGGTGGAGTTGTACAACTTTAAGTTCCCCCTCAAAAATGTCTTCTCTGAGGGCCGGACTTTCCTTTTGGTTTTGTTTGTAGTGCGTATTGTTTATTTAGATCTGTTTATTTAATTGTAAAACGTGAAAGTGCGTGTTAACATGTAAGGACCGGTCATTAGCCATTTGTAATATCAGGCGAAAGTTAATTCATTTCAATGAAAATGCACGTGTTTTGGTACTGATAACAAGAGATGCAGTTGGACATCGTTGCGTGCATGAGTTTTTTAGCGTTTATTTTTAAGTAGGCGGGGTTTCAGGCTGCCCATACGAAACCCAGCCCCACTATAAATTTACAAATATCCATGCGCGAACCAAGATTCGAACCAAGGACCCTAAAGTACCGCAGTCGAGCTTTAAACTCAAACTGCGCCAAACGGGGCGGCGGATTATTTCTGGAAGGAGTTTATTGATGATTCAGGTGGTGGTTCGTTAAAGACAACGAAA